CGTAAGGTAGCCCTTTAGGTTTGTAGGCGTCAGTGCAAGTTCCGCGCTGGTAGCACGCCGCGGCGCGGCGCTCCCGACGTGACGGGCGGGTGGTAAACGATTTCTTGCGGGGACAGCTCCCTGACGGAGAAATTCGCACATCGTGTACATTTTTTTTTTAATTTTTTTTTAATTTTCAACTTTTAAAATTACACACTGGTTGTGTGAAGTAATAAGTGGACTCTCAACGCTAGATGAAGCGTAATAATGAAAAGCAGTTCCTGCGCCATGCGCTTACCTAAAAATAGTAATGAAATATTACGGAACAGTCCGAAAAATACGTTGAAGCAATCGCAAAATACGGATTACCTCAAATTGCAGCAGGACTCCCATTATGAACGTGCTATGCACGGCTGAATATTCTCACCATTGGATCATTAATTTCAGCTCAGTTTTCGAAATGGAACTTGTTTTTTTCGTCCCTTTATTTATTTCAACACGTCAAGTTGCGAAATCGGCAGGGGTAGCCTTCGAGCAAGCACATCGATTCGAAAAACGGGAGAGCACCCACGACATTGCAACAGCGAGCGCTTTCGAAGCGAGGGAATACGGATTAAGCTAATGGGTATTGAAAGGTGCACCCGGCACACTCGAGCGCTCTCTAAGCTCGAATCTGATGTTTTTATCTTGAGCCGAAAGAATTCGCGTTCCTTAACCACTGCATCTTGAATGCACTTACATCGGACTTAGAAGGAATAAAAGACCCGTAGCTGCTACTCATCAAAAGATGCCCCGATTACCGCGATGATTTTTACTCTCCCCAGCGTTCGTGCGTGAGTGGATGTTACAGATCTCTCCGTACACGCTTAACTGTTTTATATTGCCATGGGATCCGAGGGAAACTCTTGTATCGTACTGGAAACGACAAGGAAATATTTCTTGGCCTTCTATTCTCCTTTTTTTCAGAGCATTAGCTACGCGGGTTATCATATTTGAGTGTTGTAGCTAGGTGCACTGGAAAAAAAACACATTGGATTTAGAGTCCAGACTCTTGGAAACATTAGACAAGAAAAATACTCTTGATTCAATCGGATTTTTGCTTCAATCAGAACGAAATCCGCTTAAATTGAGAGGCTTGGTTCTTGATTTAACCTAGATTCTGATTGAATCAAGAGTATTTTTTCTTGTAGATGTTTTCAAGAGTTTGGACTCTAGATCCAATGTGTTTTTTTTCCAGTGTGTGAACGCCGTAATAGAGAATTTGCATGCAAATGTTTTATCGCTTCATCTGAAAGTGATTAAAGAGCTGATTTCGCAGTATTTTTTATAATTTTTTCCGATATGGGAAATAGTATAAATGCAGATATAAAAGTGAGAAAATGCGCCGCCTAGTGACGTCATCTGGCGGCATTTCCCATTTAAACACACGAATTTTAGCAGATTAGATCATTTTGTCATATCTTCTCCAATAATGGTTCAATTCATGAACCAAGGGTATCCTCGTGTTCAGTTCACTCAGTAGTTTCCACTTAAACATGAAATTCGTCGAATTTCAGACACCTGCAAATTCTCTACGCACTGGGGAAAAAATTACTTGACTCAAACGGAAATGCTCTAGAATTTGCCGCCGCGAAAAATTCCTCATTACTTAAGAAGAGAAATGCCCATAAAAATGAAATCCACTCGTTTCAAGCAGAAACTTGCTGGATTCAAGCTATTTCATTTTTGATTGAAGAGGAAATCTTCTTGACGATAAATTCAATGGAAGTCTTCTTTCGTAAATCAAGTAACTTTTTTTTTCTAAAGCAATGAAAAATTCTGCGCTTTCACAGAGCGACTAAGACTAAGAATTTATTTTCGTAATATTTAGATCATTTTCTGAGTCGTTAATTCAACCTAAGGACGCGTAGATTAGAGAACACAAAGTAACGAATCGGTTTCCAGCCATTAATCTGTACTGCCGCGCTAAGGAAGAACGCCGTACGAACATTCGAGAGTTGCCAAATTTCTTTCAATAAAATGTTTATTTTTGAGGAAAGATATGAATATTTTTTCCTGAATTTTTCAAGGACTTTAGGTAAAATTGCGAACAAAATTATCTGAAAAATTGGAAGGATTGTGATTCATAAGTTAACCAGGAATCCGTGTTTTACAAAAGAAAATTTGGCAACGCCTGATGGTTCATAAGGCGTTCTTCCTCACCACGGCAGTGTAGTTTGGAAGTTCATGAAACGTAACAAGTTCATTCAGAAGGGAGCACGTCATATTGTGATGCACTGCTTGAAATTAGACCCTGTTCATCGGACGATTTCGTTCCATTAATTTAAGCGATAGCACTGAAATTTCGCCTCACAAGTATCAAGGAAGACCCAGAGTATTAGTTTACGAGGCACGACCGAACACGCCCAAACGAGTGCCAATTGATCGGCTTTATTGGCACAGATGAAGAGGATATTCGGAGCAACAATTGAAAAAAGCGACATGCACTACGGAAAGTTGATTGAGCGTGGTGCTTGAGGGGGGGGGGGGATTTCGAGGTTGATTTACCTCGGCGGTCCCTTTATTATCGTCATTAAGGGGCAATATGCGGCATGTCGTAAGCTCAGACAAGCGATGACGTGTTCCCGGAACCTCCCCGCAGTGCTGCCAGCTGCCGCATTTCCCGGGAGTTCACATTCACGACCACTGAATAAGACTCCGGTTGTATGAACTTGATTCAGCCGCCCCGATGCCCGGCTGATTTTAAATGAAAGCGATGACTGTGGTGAATTTCATCGATAGTTACCAAAAGCAACGTTCCGAGTGGGCTGTGCCGAACAACGCAGCGGCCGAAATCGAAGTGACTCGAAACTTCGATAAACTGAACTCGAGATTTCGGTGGAGTTAATTTATTTGAAATGCGGTTTTTTAAAATAATTGATACTAGACTGATACTAGTCCCGTTAGACTGAGAGTCAAGACAATGTGAATCCATTTCTGATTGGTTGCCGTATTTTAGGCCTCTAAGTTTAGGGGGGCTGCACCTAAAATTCAGGTCTTTAGGGTTTTCGAGGGGAGGTGGTCGAGGTTTTGAGTTCTCGGGTTCAAAATTGGTCGATTTCTTACTTGGTACAATTTCAGGAGGAGTCTTTCCATGAGTTTTAATTATGATGAAAAAGGTTCAAAATCTCGATGAAAACCCCGAATTCCAGGTGCACCCTTACCCTAAACTTTCCAAAAGAAGATCAGGGGAGCTCCGTGACCATGGAATCCGGATTTTTTGGGGTCGATAATATAGGGGACAATCTCACTCTGTAGAATCTACGTCAATTTTTCGACCGTAGTAAAATGTATGAAGGGGGCACAGTTCCCCTCTTTAGGAGACTCTTTTACATGATGGACATAATTTAATAAAGGCTACTGGAGAAAACACAATAGGCTACAATTGATGATAAGACGAAAATCACTATCTGCAGATGCTTGACTGAACTCCAGAGCTTAGATGCAAACTTTTGAGAAACTCGGTGTGACAAGGACTATCATACCGTCGGAGAAAATTAGACACCCTTCGCTGGTATCGTGGCAATGGTGGAAGCTTTAACTTTCGGGGATCCATCATTCAATTGTTAACCATCCTTCTTGTTAGCTGTTGAGTGCGGTGTTAAACAATTCGTTCAGCAAACAGGCCGAAGTTTACTAAACTTGTTGGGCGCACTGCTTATCTCATAGCTTAGTATCCAACCAGGAGACACTCGACAACCTACAAGAAGGTAGATGAAAACTGCTAGCTTATTGATACAGGACAACAGTCCTAAGTAACATGTTGATCCTCTGAAAGTAAAAGTTTCTACCTGTCACCAAGGGGCTGTATATCGACGGTGTAAGTCGACAATCGCAAAACTCGGATTGAGACGTCGCTTCCTGTCATACTTTATTTTTTGGACAGGAAACTACTCAACGGCAATTCTTTAAAACTGCCGTGATTTCACCTCTCTGTGCAAAGAAAATCCTGCATAAACTTCAAGGAATGATGTCAATTTGTTCTCCGGTAAAAAAAATAACAAAGAGGCGGATATTTTCGGACACCTCAAACGAGATATATGATTGCGGACTTACACCATCGATACGTCTCTGGTTATAGCTTCCTTGTTGGCAGGGGCGGACTGGCAGTCGAAAAGTTAGGAGGCGACCTAGATTTGAGGGCCCTCCTCCAGAAAATGTTGAACATTTCATACTTTTTAAACGCAAGTTTAAGAATTTTCGGAGTCAAATTCAAGAGTATATGAACTTCAAAATAACCCATTCTCAAGATTCTTCGTGGGCCGGGGGCCCGGGCCACCTCATTATTTCTGGGGCCCCAGGAGCCCACTAGATTTCCCTGTATATTCTGTATTATAAGCTTTAGGCGACCTTGTAGACTCTCTTAGAGATTTTCAAGGATTCTGAGGCCTTCTGGTGACTGAGAAGGATTTGTAAATTACAACATTACGGGGGAAAAAACGATGACTCGAAAAAAATCGCCGTAGGGGCCCCTTCGGGGCTTCTTGTTCGGAGTAATTTGATAGGAGGCGATCGCCTCCCCACCCCCATGGCCGGTCCGCCCCCGCAGTTGTTGGCACTGAAAAAGAAGAAAATGAAGGAAAATTTCACCTGATTCAAATATTGGACTGTGCACTGTCTCGCGTGTGACAAAATGACTAGGGATGAGCGGCTGAGTACTGTCGGGCCACTTTGTGCCAGCGATCTTCATCTTGCGTCCTCACGCGCCATAAAGGAGTATTCCACGGGCTAGTTCATCACTCGACCGCCAGGGCTGGACCCGCGCCACCGTCGCCCGATCATCCGATAGCAACAACCTCCAACCACAAACCGACACGGAACGCAGCGAAAGAAACGGAGCGGAACACGAAAACTACCGCCGAAAACACTTAACTACCGAGCTTAAATATGCACACCAATTTAAAATTAACTCTTTTATATTTTTAGCCTGTTAAACTACACAAAAACTGAGCCACTAGTAACGATTTAAATGATTATTTTAATTCGGGTTTACTAATTAAATGCACCGTCCGATTCACGGGAACGAACATCCATCTGGGAATTCGAGGTTAGATTAATTCGATCGAGGTGTTTTCATCCGCCTCTTCGGTATGAAAGTATAAAAACTCATTGTTGTAAGGCAGATGAGGGGTCGGCCGGCCGGAACGTCGTTCCCTGCTCCAGGAGGGGTGATCTCATTATGCCGCACCTGAAACACAGACAAAGAGTAATTTTTAAAGAGGAGAAAAATATTAAAATTTGGAACGCAGTGCAGACTTTTTTTTTTAAAAAAAAAAAATTATAAAATACGAAGAATTGTTTACTGGAACTAGTTCAAAATTTGCCGATTGAAATGATCATACTCGTACATCGAATACTTTGCCGTACAGCAATTCAGTTCGATATAGGTTGCTCTCCTTTAATTTTTGAAAAGTAAATAGTCCATTTGGTATGGTCATGTCCAGAGGATGGCAGGAGACAGGTTGCCGAAGAAGGTCCTTGATTGGGTTCCTCCTGGGAGAAGACACAGATGGCGCCCAATGAAAGGTTGGAGGGAGGGGATTGAAGCGGAAATGCTAAGGTGCTCAACTGCTCAATCCCCCAAGATGTGTGGTTAGAAAGAGAGCAGTGGAGGTTAGGAGGCGTAGAGCGCGAGGGAGTGCTGTAAAGCGACTTGTATGTATATGTACGTAAATAGTTCAACAAGTTTCTTTCTTCATTTTTCCATCCTTATAAATTCTTATTAATGCACGTCTTTTACTTCTCTTTCTAACATGCGATAAAGACAATCACAGAAAACATCATTCAACGAGATTGATTCTCATCTTGCATCTGCAACTAGAACTGCGAGCCAGGGGGGCTGGGGGGAGAACGGAAAAAGGGAGGGATTCATAGTGCACTCAGAGTCTGCTTTACATTAGCGTAGGGAGTTAGTTCATCGTTGTGGCGGGAGGGGGGGGATCCGCCGATGGGAGCTGCATCTTCTGCAGCCCTTCCCCTCACCACCGATAACTACGACCCTGCATCTCTCAACTCATATTCCGAAGCTGCAATCATCGTGCTGGAAATCAAAATTTTCCCAGCCGGACCTCGACTCACTGTAGCTGCGAAAAGAAATTAACAGGAGTCCGACCAGGAACTTGAAGAAGAAAAAAAATGAGAGACACAGAGAGGCGACAAATTCGTCATTTTGTAACTTTTCAGTGGAGCAGCATGAATAACTCGGCCGTAATTTATTTAAATTTATACGACAATAAAACGGAAGCGAACGTCTTTCCGGGGGAAAACAGAGACATGCAATCAACATAAATTAAAATATCAGAGGACAGCGTTTTGAATTTGCTCTCCCATCTGGCGAACACGGCGACCAAGGGGTAAATGCCGAGCAGTGGCCACAGTGGCGGCGTGCGGTGCTTCGGGGATGCTCAGACCATAGTTGTCCGGAGAACACTCGTTTTTAGCACGGAGCCCAGAATGAGTAGTTTTCATGGCAAAAGGACATAACTAAGATCGGTGGTGAGCTGTGTCGCGCAAATGACTTGGGGCTTTCTGCAGCTCACTTGGAAGCGGAGTTTAGCCTTTTTGCTGACATCCACGAGTAGAGTGTGTGGGGTTAATGAGCGCCACTAATTTCCTTCGGGCGCACAGTGGATCGAGTCAATTAGAGAGGTCGGACATGAAATTTTTGACTAAAACAGCAAATTTTGATGTTTATTCCGTCATATTTTAAATTTTAAGAGGTGCCTTAAAACGAAAATTTCACGTGGAAACCAATGGAACCACTTTTAGAATCTCCAAGTTTTGTTTAGAGGGAGTTATAAACGTTTAAAGTTTCCAAATTTTGTCCGGCCTCTCTTATTGACTCGATCTACTGTGAGGCTTTGTTCCCTTACTTCTCGTGACTCATCGTCATCATACATACCGAATTTCTCATCATTAATAGATACAAACACCGCTGGTTTCGTTTCAACCGAGTGCTTAATGGGTTGACATTGCAGTCTTTTTAAAACTTTTTTTTTCTTTTTTTTTTTACATGAAGAATTGTAGGAAAATATATTTAAAAATAAAAGCATTTACCGCCCTGTAACGTAATCTGGCGGCATACCCATTGAAACATATGTATTTAAGCAGATAAGGATATATTATCATATTTCCTTCGATAATTGTTCAATTTAGAAACCAAGGATACTCTCGTGCTCAGTTCTCTCAGTAGTTTCATTTTGAACACTTAGGTACCAATTTTACCATCATTTTCAAATTCACCAAATTTCAGACGAATGCAGATTTTCCATTGGATAGGTACCTTGAGATGCTCGAAACGTATACACGAAGTCCCTTAAAATTGCAGTTTACTACAAATTAATAACGTTTTATGAACGAGATAAGCTTTTCCAGAATCTTATGTTCCGATCTTGACAGAAGGGAATCCCTTTAAAAAAACTTGATATCTAAACAAGGAAAGCTATACAGATGTGTATGTGATATAGTGATAATTTCTTAATTTGCGATGGGATCTTTTTTCAGATTTGAGTTTTTTTTTTCTTTTCTTACCCAGGTGTTATTGCTCTACGCTCTACGGATCCACTGTTACTTACAACCTCGCAATCTACGTTGAATTTGAAAGGCATTATCATTACCAAATTGAAATTAGGAAGGGAAAGGTTGAAAACTTAAAAATTTAAAATGACGAAGTTGGGAGCCACAGGCAAGATGGAGTTCAGTCAATGTTCTGGATAATGTCTCAATTAATACTTGATGAGCACATTTACGGATATACCAATGCACACATGAATGACTATTTGTAGTTCAAAAGAGAGTTCATAGTAGATTTTTATTGTTTTACCGAAGTATTAAGTCACTAATTTACATAGCTCTCCGAAATGTACTTTTATCCTCGCCATGCCAGTTGTGAAAGCTTTGATGCAAATTTCTCATTTTGCACATAGATTTACGACAGATTTGTTTATCCCACGCAAAAGTAATGACGCTCGTTAAGAGGTTACGTCGCGATTTCTTGTTTACAAGAACAGCATGACCGCGAACAGTAGATGATGATTCGAACCGTAAACTGAGATACCAATAAATTGCGGTGTCAAGAATGCAAGCACCCATTTGCGGTTCATCGAGACACATCAGTGTTGTCGTAAGTTGATAAAACCAGTGAAGCGCAAGGGAAATATTAGTGAAATACGGTCTGTGGTTTTACAGGACCATTCCAATATTCAATGAACCATCATTAACTTATCAATGAACGATTTATGCCGAGCAAATCTACTAACGAGGTGGAATGGGCGCAGCATTGCCTCAAATTTGGAATAACGACTAAAAAATTGACTGTTTGCTCTTACACTGAAAAAAAAACGAGAATCTTGAAATTTTTTTGCAATGTTAGTCGCATTATATGTTGCGGCCAGGCCCGCCACAAGGGGGGGGATACTGGGTCCTTGGTACCGGGGCCCGGGCCCTGGAGGGGCCCGTGACGCACACTGAGAAAACACTATGGCTTATAAACCTATTAGAGGTAAATATGGAACACCACTAATAGTAGTACCTCTACATACAATAATAGCACATATACCTTAGTTATGGTACGTGTACCTTAATTAGGTACAGAGACCTTAGTATGGTTCACAGACCGAGAATCATTAGTTTATTTACGACTATTATAGGTGTTCCATATTTACCTCTAATAGGTTTATAAACCATAGTGTTTTCTCAGTGCAGGTGACAAACAACTACGAATTCATGTGTAACCCTTGTTTCGTGGGGAAAAGTGAAAAAATTACCCTAAAAATTCCGCAAAAGGTGAATAAAGTTTCAAAAACATGCTAGGGCACTATAAAATTTTTCTTACTTTTTTAGAGATTTTCAAGATTTTGAGTATACGTAGAATGATATTTTTAGTAACTGTGTTTCATTTTCTTCCGTTGTCGGATGCTAAGAGGCTCCTTTCTGGGCATCCTCGACTTCAATGGCTTAACTCCCTTGCCATAGACGTACGAAAGGGGAGTCCAGGGGGGCCCGGCTCCCCACGGAATTGAAAATTATCATCTGTCCCCTCAAAAAAAAATTTATAGATGTTTTGAATGCAACAATTCGAAAGTTTTTGGTGCTGAAAGTAAACAAAAAGGCGTAATTATTCTGCAGAAATTGATGGAAAATCTCCATCATAAGAGCTTCATAATGCGTCCAAATAGATTTAAAATTTCAAAAATTTCCCGGGGGAGGCCCCCCGGACCCCCCTCTCCCCCCTGTGCTAGGGGCCCGGGCCAGAAAATTGGTACCAGGGCCCGAGATGGGATGTGGCGGGCCTGGTTGCGGCATGTTATTCGTATTTTCTTAGTCCTTCACAAGTTTTTATTTTCAGAAAAATTTTCGACCCGCTGAGAAGTAATTCTGGAAATCGATATGCGGACTGACTTTATGAAGTTAATTTTCTTCAGTTAAAGCCTCAAAAGAGGTTCAGCGAACTGCTCTGGGATTAGTGTACCATTGACTTAAACATAAAGGCACGAGATGTAGGTAGTCATGAAAACCCACAGCAACGCACACTTGTTAGAAAAATTACTTGCCCCCCGCGTCCCTCCCCCCTAACTGATTTCAGGATGGATATTTTTTAAATTTAAACCATAAATTTTCAGAAAAAATTAGACAAGAAATCATGAGCAAAAGCCTTTTATCTAGATATTAAGAAAATTGACCAAATTATGCGAAAAGAACTCTCTAAACAAGGAACTTTGGGTTCTACGTAAATTGGGCTAGAAACTTGAGACTTTAATTAATGACATGGAGGCACTGTACTTTTCAATATATGTAGTCTATATCCTAAAATGTTTTTAAATTTTCACAGTTGTCTCATTCTTTGATTCTTTTTACACTGAAAAAAATATGCCGGTAGATTTTACCATCTCTGACACAGTGATACGAATATGGTAATAAACACCAGACTCTATGGTGGCATTTACCATACTATGGTAAGAATCACCAGAGTTCTGGCGAATACTACTATAATTCTGGTTATTTCCACTAAATAGTATCACTGTGTAAAAAATCAAGTAGACTCATAGTAAATGTCACCATACTTTTTTTTCAGTGTATGATGAGATGCTGTATCCTAATCACATCATATGTATGGAAGCTCCCATGCTTTGGCTAAAACTAAATCTAAGGGTTTAAACTAGTTTGAAACATTTATTAGATCATCCTAGGTTGACTTCTAAAAAGACTCAAAAATGCATTTCCAAAACTTACGTCTGGAATTCAATGAAAAAGGAGGCGAAAACAAAATGTACAGACTAATAAAAGTTGATTTTACCAAAGCATCGATCTGATTCATGATTTTGACAGGAACAGTATCAAGAGAGGATACCAAGAGGAATTCATGAAAAGCTCAACATTGACGTAAAATCATTGACAGAATACAGAGTATATAATAGGCCTGAGAGAGTTGCAGCTTTTTTGCCCTCACTAAGAATTAGGTTAAATGGACAATTACCTCAATTTTTCGAAGACATGAACTGCAAATCTTCGCTTTGCGCGGTCAAAGTGTGAGTTGGACCGCGACCTTCCAGGACCCCGAAGACGAAGTGATAAACAAGGTTAAGGTACTCGTTTTAAGATTCAGAACAGATATCACAGTCTGAGAACATCCGGCGCGACACCTCCACCCTGCGAAACCGGTTCACCTCCATCGAACGCCGAACAGGGTGGGGTCGTAAAAATTCCACCGTTCACTGCCAGACAACCAAACCAAACGAATGGAGCAGCCGTTTATATTCACAAATCCACCTCGCGGAACCGGTTCACCTCCCGAGGATGACGAACAAGGTGGAGTCGCAAGAAACAAGTCCCTCCGCCCACTATCAAATCACAAAACTTAATAAATGCATACAACCGTCTATATATACAAATCGACCCTCGAGAACCGGTTCACTCCCACGGGACGACGAACAGGGTGGGGTCGTTAAAAAACAAAAACAAAAAGAAATCAGAGGTTCACCTTCCACTACTTGACAACGATATTATATATAATATATAGCCGCCTAAATATATAAAACCACTAGCATATCGCGCTAAAAAAAAGGGAGAAAAGGTCAACTACAAAAGAGCTAAAAAAGGGGGATTGCGGGGGCCAGTAGAAAAATCTCTGGAACGGGGCTGGAGGCGACGCACCCTTGGCTGAGGTCTGACTGAGGGCCGGGCGCCATTTTGCGGGCCGGTGCGCACGGGCGCTGCGCGAGAGCCGCGCGCATCGCTAATCGATTGCGGGTCGCAGCGAGCGAGCGGCGAGCCGACCTACTCCCCAACTAACGCCCGCGCGTGGCCGATGCATACCCGGCCGGCGCGACTCACGCACCCGCCCTCCGTCACGGAGCCCGCCCGTCCCCCACGGCCCCACGCCCCAACGACGCGCCACCCCGTCAAAAAGAAGAAAAAAACCTAGTCGCCCCCCTAATACACGACAACCTTTCAATCTGCGGTATTGGAAGGAGGGCTGCGTTGCAGAAGTGGCCACACGGAAAAAAATTAAATGTTGATTTAGCATTTATACTGTTATAAAGATGTCCGACAAGTTTCAAATGCTGATTTTACAGTACAAAAATGCTAACATAACAGTTTAATTTGTGCGTTTTGCAGTGAGCGTGGTTACGTTAGTATTTGTTAAAATGTAAAATCAGCATTTGAAACTTGTCGGACATCTTTTTAACAGTATAAATGCTAAATCAACATTTAATTTCTTTCCGTGCACTCTAGAGAGCCGCGACCCTGATGAGTGAGCAGCGTTTACAAAGATGAAGTAAGGAGACCATGGATATGATCCTCTCTGCGAATTTTGAATGGAACTGAACAGATAGATTCTGAGATATGGCTGTATATAGATTTGGGGGACGCCGGACACACATTTTTCAAGTATGGTTATTTTGACTCCAGAGACCTTAAAACGTCTAGAAATGATGAAATTTCAACTCCGCCTCCCCGTGAACGATTACACTACTTCCTCTACCCTACACTGGGAAAAAAAAACACATTGGATCTAGAGTCCAGACTCTTGAGAATATTGACAGGAAAAAGGACTCTTGATTCAATCAGATTGAAGCTTAAATCAAAAGGAAATCCGCTCAAGTAATAAGAGGCTTGGTTCTTGATTTAAGTTTAAATCTGATTAAATCAAGAGTATTTTTTCTTTTCTATGTTTTTAAGAGTCTGGACTCTAGATCCAATGTGTTTTTTTGCAGGGTAGGGAAATGAGAAATTAATAAAGTATACTGATAGAAGACAGCTTGACTTAGGTACTATTGCACTGAACGCCCGACAACCAGACTTCAAGCACATATGGGACTTGGATGGTTTATTACGAGTATCTATCAAAATTATTGGTTTAACAACTTACTCACTGAACAATTGAACTTCACCGCTTGTTCAGTGTCAATTGGAGAGGGAACTCTACACATACAATTTGCAATTGCATTTTGTGAGGAACTTTTCTAATGATGAGGACGAGCCAAAACCTTCGGATTAAGAGGAAAACAACTTCTCTCTTATTATGAAACCTTTAAGCTTCTTATTTGATTTAAAATCGGTATTTCAAATATGTTTTTTGGGCCTTGAGCGAGCTAAGTATAGAGGTGCGAAGTGAAGGACATATCATAAAACAAATTATCAAGCGGTTCAGTTTTAATAGGTAACGTGCAAAGCAGGCGTCAACGGATGTGTTCATTTTAAATTGAGACACATTTTTCACGAGAAAATCGTTTTTCAAAAAAAAAAAAAAAAAAAAAAAAAAAAAGAAAAAAAAGAAGGGGGGACTCGAAATTTTTTCACCACTTAAATTAAAAACACTCACTCCACTCTGCGATCACGCACAACATTGACCTAAAATGAGTTTTATTCTTTCATTTCAAAATTTAAATAAATAGTCTGTCCCTTTAAACTCTGCGAAGGAAAGAGGGTGGATGTTAAATTTTACGCCAGCATCGTTAATATGCTTAATCTGCTGAGGCAGGAGGCTCTAAATTTGAGACGAAAGAAAGAAAAACTTATCTTTAATATTAGATGCATAAGATTTTTATCATACGTAATGGGCCAAGTCGGGTCGAATGGACTCGTATTTATTTAAATACATTGCTTTTAATTGTTAATTTTGGCTACATACTAAACCTTTCTTGACCCCCCTCCTTATCCGTCATCTGTAACTCCCCCAAAACAATTCGACTAGGCTTGGGTCTTGGGATTGGTAGAGGCAGTTGTCAGGAAAAAAATCGGACACGGCACAACTGTCGTAAAAATACTAATTTTTAGACGGACGTGTTGCATCTGCAAAATTGAAGGCTAGAGCCGTGAACTTGCAACGATCCACTCTATGGTACCAATCGGGTGTCACTCCGATTCCGGAGTCGAGTAAAAAAGCGAGGCCCTATACGTTTTTCCTATTATTTGCTGTGTAGACACTCGATTTTTCCTTTTCTTTTTCAACCACGTGTTTGGTTTTTTCAACACTTTCAAATACACTGATTCAGCGTTTGTATGTGCAGTGAAACCTGGTTATAACTTCTATTCTTTCTTCTACAGTATTGTTCTGTATTAAAGTATCACCTAAAGTACCACTGTATTACTAAGGTAATACTGGATGGTAATAAAGGACAGTACATCAGAGCCTTTTTTATGAGGAATTTCCCCTTAACGGGCATTTATATTATGGATTTGATGTAAAAATCGCATATAACGGACCCCCATATAGCGAGTATCATGCTGCTAATGAGTGCATTATCCACCGTTGAGATTCCTCTGGGATCAAAAGCCCCAGTATATTTAAAATTGAAACAGTACGTGGCTCCCAAAAAATGCCTCTCTCATTTTCTATTCGGAGCGTGGACGGTAACCGCCAGTAATCCCATTTCCCGGAACTAGTTCAGAATTTCGGAACCTCTGAGATTTTCCTGAATTTTTCCCAGAACTTTTGAAATTTCCGAAACATTCCAGATCTTCTGTATTTTCCGGAACTTTCTCGTAACTTCTGAAAAAATCTAAAAAAAACAATCCCCGAAATTTTGACGGTCATGGAGTGGGAGAAATTGGAACAAAAAAGTTCCGAATCCCGGAACTTTCGGCGCGCATGGAATGGGAGCACTGGTTACCGCGAGGGAGGGAGAGTCACGGGGTGACGTCACGCAGGCACAACCTCGCCCGCGCTCATTGCACTCCGGCGCCGGGACTCCCGGGCACAGACCGCGAGGAACTCGACGGGAAAGTTGTCAAACTTGGCTGAAGTATGCTCCTGTTTCGCATGAGTTCTTACAGGATATTTCATGAAATTTTCTTGAGCCGGCGACATTAGCACGGGGGAGGATGGGGACGTCGTGCCTCTTTTCGCTTTTACACATGCATTTTTACTGTCTTATCAGTTAAACCACTCCGCTCATCCCTGCCGCCCCGTGCCGTTCGTTCCTCTCCGTTTAATTTCATTCCCCGCAGCCTCTGCCCGCCCCCTCCCCCTTTATTCACCGAGTTCTCCCCGTGCTTTATGAGAGCCCCGCTTTTTATTTCCCGCCCGTGCATTAGTTCACTTTGTTGCAGCGCCAGACACGCAGCGCTGCACCGCGCAGCGGGATCCAACGCAACTAGAGCACCGAGTTCCTCCCTTGACGGGCGATTCATTCGAGTGCATTCAGACATTCCTTCGATATGCCACGACTTCATCCCGAATCGGGATTAATTTATTCTTGCTTAAACTCGTTATTTCGAAAATCTGGTGCCATGTCGTAAATGGAACCGGGGTTTTTTATGGGAGAAAGGCACAAGAGGACATTTCTGCCGTGCTAAGTAAGAACGCCGTATGAACACCCGAGAGTTGCCAAATTTCTTTTGATAAAATGTTCATTTTTATAAGGAAAATTAAGAATGTTTTTCCTTGAAATTTCCAGGAGCTTTAGCTCAAAATACAAGCAATACTCTCTGAAAAATTGAAAGAGAAATATTCATAAGTTTACCAGGGAGTTCGTGTTTTATCGAAGAAAATTTGGCAACGCCTGAAGGTTCATACCTACGGCGTTTTTCCTTAGCACGGCAGATTTGGATTACATTTATCGATAAGGAACCACTACCTTTGGCTCTTCAATAAAAGCACGTATATGCATAGGGAAATCAATGGCATATATATGTTGTTACTATGATGAGCCAGAAAAAGTAGTTCCTTATTGTAAAATGTAATCCATTTGATCAAAAGGGTTTAGGACGCGTGGAGAGACACCCCTTCAGGAGTCCGTAAAACTCTTTCAGCTTCAAAATGAGGCCTGAGGAGCTGCCCAGGAAAATTTCAAAAATTGAAACACCTCAGGAGCAATTTTGAGCTGCCCTCGTCGAGAAAATTGTCGAAATACAATTTAAAAAATGAAACAAAAGTCACGCATTTATTCCGAAAAATCCCCTTCATTTTCTGGTGAGGCGGAGTATATTTCTATGTAGGTAGAGATGCGTGGGGCCCCCGGACTCTTTACACTTCTAGTCATGTATGATGTTAAAAATGCGTCATGAAATTGCGTATTGAATTTCGCCAAGTACCTATTTTGTTCGAGTTTTTCAAATTACACTCAAAAGCGTCTGAGGTTTAACGATAAGAGCCATGATAAAAGTAAATACTGGCAACTGGCATACTTCTCCTTCTGGGCTCAGTCACGTAATGCGCAGGTGTAGAAATTGTAAGTTTTGGGTTCGGGGGCCGTTTTCCTAACCACCACCGAACCGAGAACCGAAAAGCTTGGGCAGAATATATAAATAATTCGTAATAATTGTGGCATTCTGGCTTAACAACACATTTTCCAATGTAGGTTAACAACGGCTGTTCAGCTGACGGTATTGGTAAGCCACTTCATAGCATATTGTTTATTTCAAAAAATAAAAATTACCGTCCACAGGATTACATTGCGGTGCTTGAGGATATTGGTTACGCTGGTGCCGTGCCCGATGCGTTAGAGATTCTTTCGTTTTGGTTTTTGTCATTACGTATATACGGACCGCGTTAACAGAAAGGAACCAAGCCACATCAGCTATTGCCACCTTTAATTGGGCAATTTAATTTTTTACATGAAAACGATTGTGCGAATTTATGTGCAAATTTCAGTGAATTTCCTCCATACTACGAAGCGAGTTCCTGAAAATTTTCAAAGGAATAGGTAA